AGTGTCTGCCATATACCCAACAAGTATGAAACTCAGTTTTAATTTTTTGCAGGTGTGTACATTGACAAGGGAGGATAACCGAGAGATTGGAAAGATACCAGAAGATGAGCAGCTCCACGTCTTACCTCTTTACAAGGCTTCCAACACTGATGAATTTGGCAGTGAGGAAGGTCAGCTGGAGAAAATAAAGTCAGGGGGCATCCAAGTACTCAGTGCCTTCCGCCGCCAGGTGCGCATGCTTGCAGAACCCGCCAAGTCTTGCCGGCAAAAGAAGCTGGATGCGAAGAAGGCAGCTGCCAACAAGAATGCCATGCTGGACAGCTCTAATGATAAGGCAGAGAAGGCCCTCCTGGCCAAGTCAAAAGCTAGCACTTATGAGAATACTCTTCAGAGCACTCTTATGGCAGGTAGGGTAACATTTATTTTGATAAATTTACAAATTGTACTCTAAATATATTATCATTTTGTAGGGACATATTGCTCACACAGTAAATTCGCATGTCTAAGAACAATGGATTAACAAAAAGTTACACATGACTGTAAATGAATGTTTTTTCTTGATGCTGATTAGACCTTTATCTTTTTCGGGATTCTCTTCTCTAGGACCTATTCCAGGTGCTGTGGGAGCAACCCTACAGCCAGGTCAGCCACTGCATCCCCTTGGGGCCCATTCTCAGCAACTACAGCAACAACAGCACCAGGGCATTCTTCCCCCTTACCCGGGCTCAACAAATGCTGCTTTCGCCAGGTTCCCCAACCATCCTGGGTCTTTTCCAAGCACTTCCAAGCCAGGCAGCATGTATCCCCCTCAGCCACCAACACCAACCAGTCCTTACCCTTCCCCGCTCCATGTACCAAACTCTTACATGAATGGATCAAATCGTTCATATCCAGGTTATCAGTGTAACGGAGGAATGCCCCTTGACAATTACCATCCATACTATGCTTCAAACCCAAAGCACCTGGACATATATCGACAACAGCGACCGGCGCTTTATCCAGAGCAGCGCTATGGTGTACATCAACGATATGAGGTCAATTATTCACCAAGGTATGGTGAACCTGGTTTACAGGTCAATGGTTACAATGCCAGCAGTATGAGACCAGTTCACCCCATGAGACCCTATGGCCCTTATGGTCCTAACAGGGTCTCAGACAACCAGTTTATGGACCCCCTCTCAAGAGCACCCTCAGCCCATGGAGGCCTAGATTATACAGCTGCTGTGAGCAAAGGCAATCAGTTTGGAGAATATCCAAATCCATACCTGTCTCAGAGCCCTCAAATCATACCCCCAGGCCAAGATCCTTTCCATATGCAAATCAAGACAGAGATGGGTATGCCTGGCCCACAGATGCTTTCTGCTCAGCTGAGTGGTGGGTGTTTAAACCCTGAAACACAGTCTGGGTTAGGTCTGCCTAATGGGAGTCTCATGGGCCCCAGTATTAAGCAGGAGCCAGGAACACCACAGACACCTACCACCCCACAAAAGCCCGAGATGTGGTCGGACAATGAGCACAATTTCTTGGACCCTGACATTGGTGGTGTGGCCGTGGCACCTAGCCATGGCTCTGTCCTCATTGAGTGTGCAAAACGGGAGCTCCATGCCACAACGCCCCTTAAATACCCGGATCGTCACCATCCAACACGCATCTCCTTAGTCTTCTACCAGCACAAAAATCTGAATGAGGCCAAACATGGTTTGGCACTGTGGGAAGCCAAGATGGCAGAGAAGGCTCGAGAAAAGGAGGAAGAAGCAGAGAGGAATGGTGGTGAGGGGACACCTAGCAAGGGCAGCAAGAAGGGGGTGAAGCGTGAGCATCCTGAGTCATTAGAAACCATGGGGGAGCCTCCTTACAAGCGCTTTATCAAGGCACTAATGGAGGGGTCCTTGTCATGCACAACGAACACATATGTCAGTACATCTCCATACGCCTTCACTAAGGTCACAGGGCCTTACAGTCAGTTTGTGTAGAAAACAGAAAGATCTTGACGGTGCTTAATCTATGACACAAAGACCACAGGCATCAACGCCCTCTCATCAGCCTCATGTTGCGTAGTGAAAGGAACCTGTTATCAGATGAGATATAAACCACCTTTCACATCAGGTTTTTCACCTCTTTAACAATCAAGCTTTACTAGTTGACCCTACTAAGGATGTATTTATTTTTGTTTCACAACTTTTGCAAGATACACAAAATCTCTGGTGCTTTCAGTCTGATACATAAGGATCTATTTTAGCTGGAAACAATGTTTCAGTTTTGGTGGCTTTATTTTTCTTACAAATTTTGGAGATGTAATCTTGGCTTCAAACACTGATTTTGTAAGTGACAACATTCACGGTGCTAAAGTGTGTGCTTATGACCATAGATTTTAATTCAAATGCCTTCACACTCTAACCACGACACACTCTACGAGTGACACTCAATTACTTATGACACCGGGACACTGAAACTATCATCCACCGGTCAAATCATCAGCATCACAGTGGTTTTTGGCAAGTCAGTGTTTCATATAGCACTTTTTGATAATGAGAGTTAAATGTTTGGAAAAAAGAAAAAAGTTTTGTTAATTTTAAATTCTGATGAAACTGTATTGCTGCATTGACAGTAATTAATTTCTAAGCATCACTAAAGTTGCATTCATGAATTTGTAATGGGGGTTGTATGAGCAATCCATGAAACTGTTTCGAGTTCATGCAAAACAATTTTTTAAAACAATTGTTATGTTGGTGCTTCTTTCACTTACCTATGTCACTTATACTGTAAATTGAGCCATTCTTATGGTGCATTTTTAACATTTTGAGAAAAAAAAAATCTGTTTGTGTTTTTTTTTAGTTTTTTCCAGGTTTACTTTGTTGTCACCGACTGTTTTTAATGTTCCTCACCGCAGGTTCATTGAACAACCCTGGATTGTGAATATTACATGTAGTTTTTTTGTCTGTGGTGCTTAGTAAATGTGCTTTTATACACTGAGGAACATGAAACAGGGTAAGCTCAGTGTCAGTTTCGGAGGGCAGCTGGCTTGCTGTGGGGTCTTTAACTATTGTAATCTAACTGTAAGATAAACATGTGAGATTTGTACAGTAAATTAATTTCCCTTTTTGGAATTACTGTTATAGATTTTGTGTTGTAAAGAATGCTAACAGCCTATTTCATTGTATTTCTTTGGGTTTCAACTGATTTTATTTCATAAGGTGCTATTCAGCCTACTAGAAACATACAATGTGAGACTCTTTGGGCAGTGAGAAGGCTTTTAAATAATGTACAGTACAAACCAGTCATATACCTCAAAACTAGTTTGGCAATAGGATTATAACATATTTTTCTTTCTTCATTTGTATATTACTTTCAAAATGTTAATAACAGATAAAGTTCAGGCCACCAAAAGGCATAAAAGTTCATCGCTTACTTTCTTATCAATCTGCTAGAAAGTATTACTTGAACTTGAATCTTTGCTATTACTGTAAAATCAGGGACATTTTCAACTAATTTTGTGTACATCTTCAATGCCTGTATTCATCTTGTCTTTTTCACATTCAGGGACTTGCCATTGCATCCTGAATCCCAATACGATTCTTGTCTACCATACTTCACACAGACGAAAATTATTTTGTCAGGAAAAAGATACTTTCCTGCAGGTTTTTTTTTTTTTTTTTACTTATATTTTTAGCTAGTAGGATGATGGTAATCTTTTAAAAGTAATCTGAACATATATGCACTGAGTTGACTAAAGGGAATGATATTGATTAAGTAAAAAGCAATCTATTTGCTTTTGCTATGAGGCAAGACCAGGGCAGTGATTATTGTAGTTGCACATCTTTGTGCCTGTGTATAGTTAAATTTATTTATAACCACTAAGCAATTGTATAATGATTTCTCCCCTGTTGATTTGATTTAATTATTGCGATATATATAATTGAATGACAGTCATGTTATAGTAACAACTCACCCCTCTCTTCTACATATTCATTTTCTGAAAGCACTTCATTTCTTTTTCAGGAAAAAAAAAAAAAATGTAATAAAGAATTACAAAACGTTTTATTTAAACAGATTGTAAATGTGTTAAAAATAAATTATGTCACATTGTACATACCAAGAATTTGTATTGCAGGAGTATAACTCATTCTTTAATGTTGATGTAGGTTCTTTTTGTTCTGTCAAATTGACCCACAGCTCCTCTTATATCATATCTTTAAAAATCCTTTTGGCTTTTTCGGGTTAACAGAATGATGATGGTTAGATTATCCAGGAAGTTTTTGTAAATATTACACTCACTGTCACGGCAATGTTTACAGTTATAGTATCATGATAGCTCAGTCATTAGAAGTTCTAGTTTCTTTTCTTTCTTTCTTTTTTTTTTTAACTGTTTTGTAAAATAACTCTACAAACAAAAATGTTGAATTTCGTTGTACAGGACCCAGCTACAGTAGCAGGTTGTCGTTGAGAAAGCCAAGGTGTCGCAAGATATAGCGGGTTAAAAGCATAGCCATACTTGAAGATGCTTCAGAGTGTTTCTGAGTGAGTCAACATTACTTGAATGACTTTGTGGGCTTAACTAGTGCACTACACGTGCTCAGCTCAAAGGTTAAGCTAGCAGTTCATACACACTTGGTCTTTTTGCAGTTAGACACTAAAGGTTTTAAAAAAAATGTGCAACTTTTTGCCTGTCAATTTACTTTTTAAGGCTTCCCTAGTTCTCCTGAAGTTTGGTATGCTACAAAAAATTGAATTAAGGATGGGTATTAATACTGTAAGTATTGTAATGTACTGAATGCAGTTTATTTGAAAGCTGTTTATTATATCATTCCTGATATTGCTGATATGTGGGTGTTTTTTTTAATAAAATTTATATTTATTTAAAGCAATTTGATTTGTTACTCCAAGTAATTACCAATATCTAAATTCTGCACACAATGACCTGAATCTTGAAGTTCCTAAAATGAGCTGCAGATAATACTGGAAAGCAATTGCATCATATTCACACCTTTTTTTTTTTCTTGTTCTTTTATTTACCCAAATAAGAGAAACTTGTTACAAACTGAGCTGTGTTGTTTGTAGCTGCATGGACAGACCGATTGCATTTGTAAAGGCAAATCAGAGCAACACTTTCAGTCTCATCCAAGGCTGGACTTTGACATCAGTCACACAAATATTGAAAACAGACAATAAAGTGTAATTTACAATATAATAGAAAGTAGACCAATTATTTCTGCAACTAATCTCTGAAAATTTTATATATATAATTTTATTTTTTTTAACCAATAATTAATCCATCTGTGGTCAACATGACACCCAAAAATACACCTCACTGGTTCTTTACTGAGCATTACAACAGCACGTCTTTACTGGCTCATACTGGGTATTTTTCTTTTCTTCAACAATTTGTTAAATGTAGATGGCACTATATACAGCTGAGGCAGAGTGCGTAGAAAAAATAAATCCGGCTGCATGTAAAAGACACAGCAGAACTGGTACTCCTTGATTAGATGTTAAGACGTTTCGATGGTTTCCGTGTTGCTTTGGGGGCTTCAGACAAAATGCCACGTGTCCACTGTGCAAGATGAGATTTAAAATGACATAAAAAATGAACATTTGAACCATATACCTTGAAATAAACCAAAGTGATTATTTGCTTACCCTCTGTTGGCACAGGGTGTGCGCTGCCAAATGCAGGGGCCTGATGAATCAAAAGATAAACATGAAAATGATCACACCTAATCGTAACGCAGCTTTACATGCTATCATCGTTATCGTTGCAAAGTTCTCACCGACTGGACAACCTCTCTGGCGTCATCAGCGCTGCATTTGAACGGGCTCTCACAGCAAGAGACATTTTTGCTGAACAAAAATGAAAGTAAGAAATGGTGTTCATTACGCTTCCATTGCCAATTACATATGAAGATCACACACATGTACGCTGCAGGGGTTTCATCCCCGCTAACCTACCATTCAATCCCTCCAGGATTCGTTTGCTTCTGCACTAGTGCCCTCCAGTGCTCATGGGTGGACTTAATGATCTCAACTGCAAAATCCTAAGATCAGAGCAGAACACGTTTTAATTTCTCCAGCAGCAATTCATTTGAGCCCATTTAGTTGTAGCCACCGAAACCACACAAACTGCAACCTCCAGCACACCGACTGTCGCGTCTTATCTTTCTATGTTTTGTTGCAAAGGCACTGACCTTGTCTTTGAATTGTCCATTGAATCCAAATTGATTCTCAGGCTTTCCATCAGGCACCTTATATTTCCTAAACCAGTCAACAGTGGCCTCTAAATGACCTGGTCGGCTCTTGCGGACATCGTCTATACCTGAGGAAAACACATTCAATAAAAAAAAGGCACCTTGTTTATCTTGGTATGAATTAGATGTCAGTCTGTACTGCGTTTAAACTTGGTAAGTAGTTTAACAAAAAAAAGAGAATTTGTTGAACATGCACATGCTTTCCAGGGATGTGAAGTCCTTCGAAAGCTTTGCAGCAAATAGTGACAACAAACAACCACGCAGGTGATAAATGTATGATGGGTGATAGATGATAGAAATGCTACGTTAAAACATAAAATAATAAACAATGGATCAATGGAACGTGTTTGTTCAGCCTCAAGGATACACACAATATGTTTTCAAGAGAAATATTGAACATAAACAAAATCATGTTGACATTAAAAACTCCACAGGGTACTGACTATGTTAGTATTGTAACTACAGATATCCTTCTCCCAGGATCTCTGTGTTGGATATACAATCAACTGAAGGTCAGTGGAGGTACAATCATATCTTAATCATGGTATGTGGTCAAATGCAGATCTGATAAGTTGTGGGGTTTGGCAGCTAATCTTCAAGAGCGCTGCATTCCATGAATTAACTTTCATATCTGACTGTGTTCAAACTTCATTTTCTTGTATAATTTCCTTTTCAGGCAGATTCCAGATAATAACTGTTGATACAATTTGATTAAAACACCCACTATTTAGGTTTTTGGCGTCCGGGTCCTTAGCATTGATCGCAATAACCTTCCAGTCCATTTCTCCCTCATCGATCATGGCCAAGATGCCGAGCACTTTTACTTGGATCACCTGACCTGGAGAGCAAACCTGAAGGAGGAGGTTCACAAATAACAGCTGATCACTTACAAACCCAACACCATAAGGTGTGATTCAAAAATGTATGTAAAAGGAGTCACAAATGGAAATATATCAAAAACTGGAGCTACGTTACCTGGGTGCCGATATCACAGACGTCAATAGGATCATTATCGCCACAGCACTTTGTTTCTTTGTCTTTGTGGTTTGGGTCTTCCCACGTCTATTTCAAGAGAGCATTGAAACGCATGTGAGAAATCAACATTTCCCAGCAAACCTTTTACAACTAACTGGCAAGATACATCAATAAATACAGTACAACAACAGAGGAAATAAATGGATTAAACTGCAATATCGTCCTGACTAGGATCAAAAACAGCATGACAATGATAGGCATGTACACAATAGACGATTTAACACCAAACCTCAACACTGAGCTGTTTCCTCACCTGTGGGAGTGCTCCATAGTTCCAAATGTAACCTTTATGGGGAAATACGTTGGCAACATATCGGAGCTTTCCTTTCTTTACATCTTGTTTGATCGGATTCAGCGCTTCCTTTGTTGCGATCTGGAAGTCGGAGCAATTATGAAGGTGTATGTATTTGTGTGTATGTGTGTGCTTTTTCCAAGCGCGCCTCATTTGGAAGAAAGGCTTAGGCTGACATGACGAGGAGAGACATAACTTTAATTTCTTCATAGTCGGCAACACTCACAACTGCAGCTCCATGCGACTGTTACACTAGCTAGCTAAATACGAGTGATTTAAGGGCATAGCTATGCTAACTCGAGACAAGGTCAGTAAGCGGCTCTTTAAAATTACAATTCAAGTGAGACACTGCATGTCTTGTAGTGAGTTACATGTAGTTATGTAATGTCAGCTATGACTGGTATAGTCACTTGGGGGGCTCATTTAACAATAAACAAAATATCTCCAAACTATTACTAAAGAACCACTACAAATACAATCCTGGGAAATGTGTAATGGAACAGCTGCAGTATTAATACGTAAACTGTAACAGACATTTAAGAGGCATTTATTAAAGCAGTACCAGTCCTAACAGTAGTAAAGTGCAATGCAGTCGTGACTCGATAATCGGACATTAAATGTAAAACCACCACTTTCCCGCCGCCGCCACCATCCACATTTACTTCCGTAAACACTGAGCACACTCGCTGCGTGTTATGTCGTTGTGTCCTCTTCTGCGCATGCGGGACGCTTTTGGGTCGTATGAAGTTCACACAGCAGATCACATACATGTCGTATTTAACTGGAAATGTGAATGAACTTGCAAACAAATTGGATTTCACAAAAAAATCAGAATTGAGCATTAAGTCCTGCAGTCTGAACGTAGCCAATCTGTTGGATTGTTAAGTCAGATAATACGCCGTTATCCTCATTTGTGACATAAAATGTCATGTTGGAGTTGGAATCCAAGGCTGTCGGTATGTTAAGGCTATTTTTAATGGGTTCCATTCGTTTTTCCAAAAAACATGTCAGATAGCAAGGTTTTCGAATTGTTAAGGGTCAGATTACGGAGTCACGACTGTAGTTACATCAATCATCTAAAAGAATGTAAGATACTGTACATAGAAGCTGTATACAGATAAATATACCGTATCTATACTTACCTCCATTTTGGCATTTGACCATCGAGGTACCTCCACAACCATGTTGTAGAGAACCTAAAAGTAAACAAGACAGCCAAATACAGTATGTACGGAGGTGAATGTCTTCAGGCAGTAAAACTGACATACAAGTGTTGAACTGGATGGTACCTCACTCTCATTCCGCTTGGGTTTTTTAGCTGGCACGTCATTGTCCTGTTGAAAGGAAAGCAAATTTAATTCCTGGTCTGAATATTAGGTTTAAGCAGAAACAAACACTTCTGTGATGTGAAAAGTACCTGTTGTGTCTCTGCTATAAGTGGAATATCATGGAATGGTGAAACGTATTTCCCTTCAGACGTTTCTGCAAAAAAACAAAAAACATGTAAAACACTCCTCTATACCTATACGCATAATTCATAATAAAATCCCAGAAGACAGTTGATTGTAAGTAAAAGTATTATATTATACCCAACATATTATTCCTATGCCTGAACTACTTTCAGCAGTGGAATAACATTGGCCACTGCCGTGGTTACCCCAGATCTGAGGGGCCAAGTTCATTCACTGAAACAATGGAGTCCGAGTGCAAGTGAGAGCAGCATTGATGGCTATGTCACGCCATCCAGCATCAGCCAGTCAACTGTATGCCCCATGTACACACATCACAGAGGGCTAATGACACATTATGTGCTAAGTTCACAGAGGCATACGCAGACCTCAAAAACACAAGCTGAAGTTAAGTTGGTTGCTTCCAGCTGTTTGCAGGAGTCTCTCCTCTAACTTTAATTACCACCTGCAGCATCACACAGCAGCAGGATCCATATGAGCTTCTCCACAGAGAAAGAGGTATATGCATTTACATTTATTATATTCATTAATTATGGAGTATCTGTCAGGATCTACTGATACACAACACTGTATACTCTTCTATACCTCAGACAGGTGAGCTGCTACACAGACTCAGTTTATCAGGTACAGCTGAATCATTAGTTACACAGCTGAGTCCTGAGCTCCATCATGGCAGGATGTTATTACACTGCGAAAGTCTGATCCGTTTACTAAAGTCAAAATATTTTCTGTTATATTAGGTATTTCTTTTATGCGTTAAAGAGCGTCTAATCAATAAAGTATGTAGAGTAGCTGAAAAGCATGAAAATATACTTTATTGTACCATAAATTTCTGTTACTCGTCATCACACAAGCACACATGAACAATTTTCAAAATTTACATCAAACTCAGACATCAGACTATGAATGTCTTGCCTCTGGGTGAACTGTCTCTACACAGCATCTCTTCTCATAGGTCACCAGATTAACCAAAGTACACTGCTCAAAAAAAATGAAGGGAACACTAAAAAAACACATCCTAGATCTCAATGAATGAAATATTCCAGTTGAAAAACTTTATTCATTACATTGTAGAATGCATTGAGAACAAAATAACATAAAAATGATCAATGTAAATCAAAATTATTATCCCATGGAGGTCTGGATTCAGAATCATGCTCAAAATAAAAGTGGAAAAATCATATTACAGGCTGATCCAACTTCAGTGGAAATTCCTCTAGACAAGTCCAAAATGAGGTTCAGTAGTCTGTGTGGCCTCCGCGTGCCTGTATGACCTCCCTACAACGCCTGGGCATGCTCCTGATGAGGCAGGATGTTCTCCTGAGAGATCTCCTCCCAGACCTGGATTAAAGCATCAGTCAACTCCTGGACATTCTGTGGTGCAACGTGGCATTGGTGATGTCCCAGATGGATTCAGGTCTGGGGAACGGGCAGGCCAGTCCATAGCATCAATGCCTTCATCATGCAGGAACTGCTGATACACTTCATCCACATTAGACCGACCACTGTCATGCATCAGAAGGAACCCAGGGCCCACTGCACCAGCATATGGTCTCACAATGGGTCTGAGGATCTCATCCCAGTACCTAATGG